CTTGTAGGAAAACATAATAATGATTAAATTACCTCAGGGAAAGGTAAAAGAAACATGTTAGTGGCAGTAAATTACGAAAATTTTATTTTTAATCCAAGATGCATCTATATTATCAATGGTGGAAGATACCTTTTTGACAAAATTTTACTAATTGCTTTATCTAATTTGTTCCCCAAGTCCTTATGGTCCTTGAAACCAACGGCTACCATAGACTAACTCAGCATATTTCTAAATTTATTAACCTTTAGGCAGAAGGAAATTATCTAAACTGATTTAACATAAATCTTTAAGATAAATCTATGTTAGGAAATTTAAGCGTATTATTGCAAAGGCTGTAAGGCTGCATATGACTTGTTTTATTTCGACTCAATAGAGTAATTCAATCCAACCTGACGGATTTGAAGATACAATGAATTGAGTTGGACATGTCATCTTTAGAATTCACAGATTTTGTTGTCACACGTTTACTAGATAAATTCGAAGACACGGTTTCACTGGATAAATTTGAAGACCCAAGCCAATGCATAAATAATGTTATTGTACATGAACTATTTAAGTAAATTTGATTTGATTTGCAAGTTTGAATATAAATATTAAGTTATTTTCATATTTAGTAGAGTTTGCCTTTTAAATTTTTGAATTGTTGCTATTGAGTAAGTGTAGTGTAAAAAACATATTGTATAATTATGTTACTAATTATTTTTAATTTTATCGGTTGCATTTTTTATTAGAAAAATTAATTTTTCATTATTGTTGCTTATTACTATTATTATTATTAAGAAATTTAATTTTAATATCATTATTGAAATATATTTATAGTTTTTTATGTAATTATGTTTTTAAGTGTATTTAAATTTTTTTGATAATTCCTCTTAAATAATTGTATTTATTTAGAGATATTTTTATTATTTATGATTTATTTGATTTGTGAGTTTACACATGAACCCATACTCAACCCGATTTATTCATAACTTATGGGTTCACGTATTTAATGGGTTGGTTGAGTAAAACAATCATTGATCTATACATGCAAGTTATGTATTTTAAATCAATAAATCCGATTCATTTGCAATCCTAAAAGGTTGTACATAGTTTGTTACAACTCGATTCAATCCGAATGATATCTCAAACCAATTTAATCTGACCTGACATATGTAAAAATATAATGAGTTGGAGGAGATCAATTCTTTTAAATTTATAAGTCGGATTTAGCTACGGGTTCATCTGAGTAACTATATAAATCTGACCTAATGTATAAAAAAATATATTAACATTATAAATTTCTCTAAATTTTTAACGTTTTATCCTTGAGATACCTCAAACTTTATAGGAAATTTATTGTGCCTTTATAGAATTGACAATATTTTTTTGGTATTTTTGGTTTTTATGTGATTTGATATATGGTTAAATAATTTTTTGAATAATAATTTCACATTTTTCAATTATTTAATAAATGTTTTTTGAATAATTAATTTCACATTGTTCAATTATTAAATAAATGTTTAATCAATTTAATTTTAAAAATTAAAATTGTTAGATAGAAGATTTTTTGAAAAATTTGGAAAAAATATATAGTCATAATAATTTTAATAAAGTTGAAGTGGTCAATGGGTCAAATAAAAAGATTAAAATAGGAAATTTTTTTTATGTAAAATAGAAAACGTTTTTATAATAACCCATATTTGAATTCAACTGTTTTAACCGGTGGATAGTGAGATACTGCCATATTTGTTGATAGGTTGAGCTAGAATAAAAAAAAATGATGACTTGCTAATCCATCTGTGGACTAATGTATAAAAAAATATATTAACATTATAAATTTCTCTAAATTTTTAACGTTTTATCCTTGAGATACCTCAAACTTTATAGGAAATTTATTGTGCCTTTATAGAATTGACAATATTTTTTTGGTATTTTTGGTTTTTATGTGATTTGATATATGGTTAAATAATTTTTTGAATAATAATTTCACATTTTTCAATTATTTAATAAATGTTTAATCAATTTAATTTTAAAAATTAAATTTTTAATAGAAAATTTTTGAAAATTGAAATATATAGTCATATAATTTTATAAGTTGAAGTGGTCAATGGGTCAAATAAAAAATTAAATAGGATTTTTTATGTAAAATAGAAACGTTTTTATAATTAACCCATATTTGATTCAACTGTTTTAACCGGTGGATAGTGGATATGCATATTTGATAGGTTGAGCTAGATAAAAAAAAATGATGACTTGCTAATCCATTGTGGATACTTCAAATCAATAAATCGGATTTAACCAGATCTAAGTGCAAACCCTAGTTATTATATCAGACAATATATTTGATTTAATCATAAATTTCATCCTAAATTTTTAAAGTAATTGTAACTTCACTCTGACTTGGTTCTATTTAGGTTTCCTTTGTTTATTAATCTAATTATAATTACACTCTAATATGTTTTTAGCTTTTAGGGTGCAATTGTATCCTAAAAGCGAATTAAATCTTTCTAAATTTATTGATATATTGCAATTACACCTTGAAAGAAATTAAAAATTATAATTTTGAATAACATAATATGCAAATGGACCTCATAAAAGCAAATGCAAAATAGACGTATTGAATAAATCGATAAGTTCAGAGTGCTCTAATTCACTTTTTAAGTTGCATCCTAAAAGCAAATTAAAATATAATTGCAACTAAATTAATAAATTTTGATGTATGAAATATTACAACTATATGAAAAAGTTGAACGCAAAATTGATGTTTAGGCCAATATATTTCCTAGATAGTTAATTAGCAAACTTTATACAATATTTTTAAGTCTAAAACAGAAATTTAGCAAATTTTTCTTCTAATTGATAAAAGAAAATTTTAGAGGTGGAAAATGTTGCAAGTCTTTGTTTCTTTCACCGCCTAGGCTAACCGAAACTTGGACATTTCGAACTCCTAGACTGGTGGATGCATTTGTTATTATTATTATTATTATTATTATTGTTAATTGTAATTTTAGAGGAGGAATATGTTACAAGTCTTTGTTTCTTTCCCTTTCAAAAAAACAAAAAGTCTTTGTTTCTTTCACGGCGCAGGCTAACCGAAACCAAGACAGGGAATTCCGTGCTATTAGACAGGCGGATGGATTTATATTAATTATTTAACATTATTTTTGTTTTAAATATAAGTATTTTTTCCCTATGAATTAAGAAAATAATTACTTCTTTTAATTTATAAGAAAATCAAGAATAATTTAATTAAATTATCTTTTATTTCAAAATTAAAAGTAATTTTAAGATAATTATTATAATATAAATAAAGATAAAATTAGATTTAGGAGTTGTAGTTTAGTTGGCAATACAAACTAGACACGTGAAAAGAGCTTTAAAATTCCATCTCACTAAATACACTCTATAAAAAAAGACGAAAAGTCTTTACTATAACTAATTCTGAGCCGAATTGACCGGTGGTTTATAAAATAGAAAGGATAAAACTAGAAATGACCATTTGTTAATTTTTAGAGTACTCAAAACTGACTTTTCTTCCTAAAGTTAGTTGGCATTACGAATGAAGGGAGACTTACCAAAAGATAATGATGATATGATGTTATGATGTACTGTTTTTAATAGTGATGATAAGATGTTATGATATACTATGTTTAGTAAAAGTAGTAATAACAATTAATCTTTATTTTCAAATTAGTTGATTATTTTATATACATCACCTATTACCATTAAGGATTTTGAAAAATTAAAATAATTTTGATAAAAGTTTTAAAAATTTTAAAAAGCATTTGTTTTAATACGTAATAAACAAGGATAAAACATGTAATAAAAATTTTTTGTTAAACCTAGATTAGTTGAGGTCTAAGATAAAAATCTTTTGTCTCGTTGTATAATGATCATAGCCAGATCATTATTAATTTCAAGTGATCATAAATCTTTCGTGACTACTTTAAATTTATCTCTTAATCATTTAGCACTTTTTATTCCTAAAGCATCGTATTTATAACTGGGGCATGTAATATATAATCAAAACAGTCAAATATTAAATATTTTTTTCAATGTCACTTTATGTCACATCGGTATCATCATTTTTAATCTCGTACAGCATCCATCTTAATATGTGTATCTCCACTTCTATCACACTCAATATTTATTTATTCGCGCATGCCATTGCAGCTGTATTCATTTATTATGATGTAAGTTGCCATAAAAAATAAAAAATTCAAGTCTGAATAATCGTTAAATATTATTATTATTATTATTCAACTTTTGAATCTTAGATATGATTGTTTTTGTAAGTCTGAGAACATTGCTTGAAATTTTAGCAAATCAATTTTAAATATTTTTTAACAGTCAAAATGAACTTTCGTCTTCATGTGAGCTGTTGGTCCATTTGAATAATAAAGATATGCACAATGTCAATTGATGTGTTGATTTCTTACTCTAATTGAAAAGACAAAATTTGATTTTTTAGTTAATCTAATTATAATCACAAAGACTTTGTAGCTAATCAATTCAGAACATTCCAAATTCAAATTAATTCAATTAAGTATATCATATGTCTCTGCTTAATTGAATTACTCTTTTAATTAATTAATAAAGTATCTCTACTTAATTGAATTATTCTTTTAAATAATTAGTACTTCTCCAAATTATTAAAATTTGAATTATTCAAATTATTAATTGAATTTTTTTTTTCACTTATATTTTTTTACTATTTGATTATTCGTAATTAAAATAATATTATTTAATTTCTCACATTTACTATTTAATTATTATTTTTTTATTTAACCATAAAAATAAATTTTCAACAAAAATGAGTAAAATAATTAGTTAATTGAACTTTTTCCTCAATTGGCGGTTGGTTACAATATAACCAACCATTCTAAATGCACGAGCTCAACCTCCACTGTCACGTTTCCTACCTACTATATATCTCATTCCAAACGTAATATTGTACATCCGTTTCTTACTTCTATAAGTATAAAAACTCTGAAACCAAAAAGAAAAAACAAAGTAAAATGGCTTCTTTCATCCTATACTCCATACTTGCCACCCTCTTCGTCTACTTCCTCTTCAAACTCCGCTCCTTCGGCCGCCGTCTTCCGCCAGGTCCAAAACCATGGCCCATTGTGGGGAACTTACCGCATTTGGGCCCAAAGCCTCACCAATCTTTAGCAGCGTTGGCTAGGTCCTATGGACCTCTCATGCACCTCCGGATGGGATTTGTAGACGTCGTCGTGGCGGCTTCCGCGGCGGTTGCAACACAGTTCTTGAAAGTTCATGATGCCAACTTCTCTAGCCGGCCACCGAATTGTGGTGCTAAATACGTGGCTTATAATTACCAGGATCTTGTGTTTGCACCGTATGGTCCAAGGTGGCGAATGCTTAGGAAGATTAGTTCCGTCCACCTCTTCTCCGGCAAGGCGTTGGACGATTTCAGACATATTAGACAGGTGAGCTTAGTTTATTATTTACTATTTTTGCCGATATTAACAAATATTTAGACTGTAGGTGTAGACAAAATAATTAAAGTCTTTGCTAGTAATTTGATAAAGAGCCATTTGTTTTGACCATTGCATAAGTTCAAATCGTGTGTATAATATTCAGTTGACCATTCTGATTAACCTGAAGTTAGTTATTTTAATTGTTATTTTATTGAATTATTTTTTACTACTGGGATCCATAGATGTCGTAAGTGGAACTATTCAACAGGATCAAATATTGAACATTGAAAATTCTATTTATAGAAAATGAAAAGATAATTCTTTAAAAATATAAGAGGGTAAATTTGAAAAAATTAACTATTTTATAGGTAAATTGAAAATTTGTAAATTTTTTTAAAAAAATTTTGGGTTGAAAGCGGACTATATTATTAAATTCTTTTAAATATTTTTTATACTTATGAAGTAGTATAAAAATATTTAAAATTTTGGATCAGTGTTTGGTTACCAAACCTTCAAAATTATAAATGAAATTTTTTATTATTTTATTTTAATAGTATTTATATTTATTGATTGATAAGGCACACAAAAGGATAATCTTTATTTTTCATTTGCATGCATCGGCTTTTTTTCGTCCACACGACTATACATTAACGACTTGACTCTCGTCGATTATTGATCATGCAGCAAGAAGTCTCGGTTCTCACGCGTGCATTGGCGAGTGCGGGTCCAACACCGGTTAACTTAGGGCAATTGCTGAACGTGTGCACTGCAAACGCCCTCGGGAGAGTGATGATAGGGAGAAGAGTGTTTGGTGATGGTACCGGCGGCGGCGATAGAAAAGCGGACGAATTTAAGTCGATGGTGGTGGAGCTGATGGTGTTGGCCGGAGTTTTCAATATTGGGGACTTTGTCCCTGCTTTGGAGTGGCTAGACTTACAGGGGGTAGCAGCTAAAATGAAGAAGCTCCATGAGAGATTTGATGCTTTCTTGACTGAGATTGTGGAGGAGATTAAATCTAACGGTTCTGATGAATGTGGAAAAAACAAGACCATGTTTAGTACGTTGATTTCATTGAAGGAGAATGCTGACGATGAGGGAGAGAAGCTCACAGACACTGAAATCAAAGCTTTACTTTTGGTAATTTCTTTTTCCAACTCTCATTTAAATCCAATACACTATATCATAATTCATAGTGAAAAATATAATAAAATATGTAATTTCACTTATCTAGATTCAATCCGTGAGTACTCAAATTTATAAAAAATAAATTTTTATTAAAAACAGAATATTTTTAATCATTTACTGAAAAAATAAAATGAGAATATTTTTCAAAAATTTTTTAATTTAATTAATTTAATCCATAAGTGAGTTAAGCAAGTTTAATTTTCAAATCTAACCTAAAAAATGGTAAAATATTCTAATAATTTTTTATTTCTTTTGAGTAATATATATATAGTCAAAAAATTTATTATCTATGTTAAGCAAGTTGGATACAGAAGATTCAAAAGTACTTGAATTATTGAATGCACGTGCTCGAACTAACCAGCTTTCGCACTTGACCTGTTGATCACATTCAATCAGCTTGAATATCTAAGTATTTTAATATTAAAATAAATAGTTTTTTTGAAAAAAAGCGAGTAATAATTTTAAAATAATTAAGTCCAAGGAGCAAACAACAACAAAATAAAAAATATTTTGTCATTCGATTTTAAACTATTCATAAATTTTCTTTTTTTTTTAAAAAGTGAATCTTTGACTTTGTGCTTGCAAATTTTTTATTATACCAATAATATAAATAATATAAATATTTTGTCATTCGATTTCAAACTATTCATAAATTTTCTTTTTTTTAATAAGTGAATCTTTGACTTTGTGCTCGCAAATTTTTTATTATTCAATAATATAAATAATATAAATATTTTGTCATTCGATCTGAAACTATTCATAAATTTTCTTTTTTTTAATAAGTGAATCTTTGACTTTATGCTTGCAAATTTTTTATTATACCAATAATATAAATAATATAAATATTTTGTCGTTCGATTTCAAACTATTCATAAATTTTCTTTTTTTTATTAAGTGAATCTTTGACTTTGTGCTTGCAAATTTTTTATTATATCAATAATATAAATAATATTGTGACAAAAAAATAATATATAATAATTAACAACTTTTTTTTCTTTCAAAATTATAATATATGTTTAAAGAAATTTTTTCAAAGAAGCAACACTAAGGTCATTGTGCTGTGGTTGCAGAACATGTTCACTGCAGGCACTGATACATCTTCAAGCACAGTAGAATGGGCCATTGCAGAGCTCATTAGGCACCCAAATATATTGGCCCAAGTCCGACAAGAGCTCGACATGGTCGTGGGTCAAGACCGTCTCGTAACTGAGTTGGACTTGCCCCAATTAACTTACCTCCAAGCCGTCGTCAAGGAAACCTTCCGGCTCCACCCATCAACACCACTATCACTTCCACGGATTGCGGCGGAGAGTTGTGAAATAAATGGCTACCATATTCCAAAAGGCTCAACTCTTTTGGTCAATGTATGGGCTATAGCTCGTGATCCGGAAGAATGGGTTGAACCGTTAGTGTTTCGGCCTGAAAGATTTTTAGCAGGAGGAGAAAAGGCAAATGTTGATGTGAGAGGAAATGATTTTGAGCTTATACCATTTGGGGCAGGGCGGAGGATATGTGCAGGTATGAGCTTAGGATTAAGGATGGTTCAACTATTGACAGCCACTCTGGTCCATGCTTTTGAGTGGGAGTTGGCTGATGGGTTACTGCCCGAGAAATTGAACATGGAAGAGGCTTATGGACTGACCTTACAACGGGCTGTGCCCTTAATGGTGCATCCAAAGCCAAGGCTATTCCTAGATGCTTATGGTGCATCTAATTGAGGGTCATAATAAACCTACTTCTTTACGCACTCACTGCTGAATTATGCCTTTAGTTATTCCAATGATGAGTGTTATTTAAGTAGTAATAATAAGTTTAATGCCAAGGTGATGTATATATGACTCGAATAAAATTTCTAATGTTTGATTTTCTCTTTTTTAATGCTAGGAAATATATATTCATGTTATGCAAGTTGAAGTAATTTTTTTAATATAAAATGCTTGTTGTTTCCTCTTTTTTTTCCTCTTCAATTGTCCACTTCTTGTTTATTTATTTTTTTTTTCTTATTAACTATGTTATCATGCATTTTAGGTTTTCATACACAATTTTTTTGGGTAGGGTTTCATATTCTGTTTTATTTAAGATTAAATAAACATTGTCCGATATATATTTTTTAAATTAAATAATTATATTTGTAATACCATTTTTTATATAATGTATTTTTCCCATAATTGAAAAGAACTTATTTACAATAATATGCGTTGTCTCATTTCAAATAATTCTTACATTTTAATTGTTATTTTTTCTCATTGATAGTTATATTACAATTGTTTGTTTTTTTTATCGAGGTTAAAACACAGAGTGAAATTATTTTTATTTTAAAATTTTCTAAAAACAAAGGTTTCGTTTCAATTCTCTTTTCCCTCTAAAATTATTAAATTTGAAAGTGTTTTTCTACCTCAAATAATAACAATATGTTTTTACCACCAATCTCTCATGTACATGGATGAATAATTTAAATGTATTAATTTCAATAATCTAAATTAATATTCCATAAAATCCAATTAAGGCCATTATCTTTAATCAAATGTTGGAAATTAGTAAAGTAGGTCAAAAAAAAAAAAAATCTAGCACAATTTTGATAGACAAGAACCTAAATCTACCCTCTCAAAGAACGACATTTTAATTTTCGATAAGAGATTGTCGTTTCAAGTGGACAAGTTAGAATTTGTTCGCGAACGACAAAGCATGGTATTGGTTTTCTATTTCATTATTATTATTTTAGTTTCTTCATAATTTAAAAAGAGCAAGATTTTATAGAAATAAATAAGTAAATGTATTTAAAAATGAAATAATTGATATTTAATACGATTAAACAATGATTTTCAATAATTAAGCTATGATTATCAAGAAGATTAAACATGACATTCATTAGATTGATCCCTTTTCCATTTCCGATTTCCGTCTACCGATCTCTTCATCGGTTGTAAGATCAAAATTTATTTCCATGATCTCTTCCGTAGCGCGATCACAGCCGTCCAATCCAGGATTGTAATGAATCTCCAACCAATCGGCTATGCAACTTCTCCTTCACTCGCGCCAAAAATCTCCGAATTATCCGCTACAGTCTTGGACCAGGGTGTTCAGACCTTGCCTGCCACCGGTGGCCGGAAATGCCATGGTACCTGGTACGTTGCCGTTTTGGTATTGCCAGCTGTAGTATTTGTGGCATACTTGGGGATCAATGCGAAGAAGAATTTGAGAAAACTATGGAATGGAAGGTCGTATGTTATGATTTCCTATTTTGCCCTTCTCTGGTTCGCGTGCTCTCTCAATCTGGCTTGGTGCTGTCTTCAGGTTCCGTTGTTTTCTTATTTTATTAACAAATTATCATTCTAGATTCTTTTTTTTTTACTATGTTCTTGTGCTTAATCTTTTGTCATTATCAATGTTCTGTTATTTACTTATAGTAGTTGACCTTGCCGAACAGGCTTGGCAATGTTCTCCTGGAAAGGAGGTAGCTTGGAATTTCCTCTCACTGATCACAGGATCTGCAATGCTTTGCTTGGAAGTTAGCTTAATGGCTTTCTTGCTGCAGGATAGTTATGCTAGTGGGTTGGAAACTTTAAGTCGTACTTTTGCTGTCTCAGGGATCATTGTTGGTGTGGATATGCTTTTCAAGGTGCTCTATTCTTTTAGCTTACCGCCCTCTCACACACTTTGGCTATCGTTGGATTTGTTTTAACTTTTAGACATGCATGAATGATATTAAAACTCAGGAATGCTTTGTATATACTTTTAGTAGATTGTGATATATGTTATTGCCCTAGGAGCGCTGAGAGGTGGTTTGATGGCATACTAAGGCCCTCTTATGAAAGCCCAGATGAAGGATTTTCACGTGGGTAGCATTTATTTTGCTATATTACTTGGAGTAGCATAGATGTAGCAGATATGTCAAGAATACTCTGACTCGAGATCGATTAGAGCTAGCAATTTGTCCTGTATCTGTTTTTGCCTTTTGGATGACTATGGGAGGGCATTTTTCACTCAATTTTCAATTACTTAAAGAACTAATGCTAATGAATTATTGCAAATGACGAAACATGGAGAAGCAATCATCTACATGGCAGTTTTTAGGAAAATTAGGTTCCACTAGAGGGGCGTTGAGTGCATTTCAAAGTTAAACTTAGGGCATCTGGAATTAGAAAACTAGCAGAGATTCTATGGCTGTACTATATTTCCTATGGTATTGAGCATTTGGATAGATAAATGCTTGGCCTGTGCTATTGTAAGAAAGAACCGTTGCTTAACTCTGCTGTGGTTTTCTTCTTGTGGGGCTTTTAAGGATTGTCTATAGTTGATATTCATCAAGATTGGAAACTGCTGGTTTGCTACATTCTTAGTTTTCATCTTTTGTTATAGCCTTATAGGTGTGGAGGGTACCTCGTCTCACATTGTATTTCCTTCCTAATTAGTGAAGCCTTCTTCTATGACAGAAAAAAATATTAAAATAAAAAACCCTTCGATACATACTTTGTTTCTGAAATAATAGATAATTTTCGCGATCATTTTTGGCATTGGATTGCTTCTGAGTTCACTTCGGTTTCTCCTTATACTTCACATGAAAACTCAAACTTTTAGGAACAACAACAATTCATCTTATGTTATTTATAATGTAGATAGGATCAGCTTGTTACTACATCTTTCTCGTCACTTGACAAAGTAATTCTTTTAAAATCTAATTGTAACATTAAAAGTTAAACAACAATGTATAAGTTTAGTGCAGAGTCCAGTAACCATAGATGCACTCAACTACTTAAGCCAATATTGTCATATTGGATACTGTAAATTGTTCCTAAGAAATATTTTATTGCAGCATTTATTTCCAAAAGTACAACCATATTAATTGCCAGGCTGATTGCATTCACCTGTGACTTATTTTTTTTCAGGGAATTTATGTTTTTGGATTTGGGATCCCACTTTTCATAGGTGGTGATGACAGTACGCAAAGAGTGAAGTGGGGCCTGTGGATAATCCACAAGCTATTGCTTACGGCAGTTTATGGTTACATATTATTTGTGCATTTCTCAAAATGGAGAGAGAAGTTACCTCGTGGGTATATCAAATCATACTATCATACGAATTAGATTACCAACTCTCATCATCCTTTTTCCCCCTCTTTTGCAGCCAGACCATCATTCTACAACTACATTGTTGTGATGTTTTTCAGTAACGCCGTGGAATTGTTTGCTTGTGGGCTTGCTGTAATTGGAGCAGGCGTTGGCATTTGGTACATTATAAATATATCAATTAGAAATTACGATGACTTGATTATTTGGAAGCAAATACGTAAAGATGCTTTGCAATATATCATTTATTTGTTCATCTGCTGCAGGCTGTACGATTTTATGGTTGTCTGTTATCACTCTCTTTACCTTCCTTTTCTTTATATGACATTTCTAGCAGATTTTTTCCAGGTAATCGTACTCAAGTATCTTTGTGGTTATTAAACTTTACAATATGGGAATCAATTTACCTGATTTTGAATTTTGAATTCTTTTTGCAGGAGGAACATTTCCTTCTGGAAAATGCGTACTACTCTGAGATGAAGGATGCTGGATTCTTTGATGCTGACTGGGAGTAATAATTGACTAGAGAAAGTATAACGTTGCAGAATGTAATTAAATGTGAATGAATAACCATTTGGTTCGAAAAATAGATGCCTGTTCCTTTCTTTTCTGTTGTAATGTAATTGTATTAGAACGGTACATATCAGAGATAGATGACAGATGCAAGTTTTAATTGATGAAAAGTAAGCGAGGAAGAACAGAACAGTCATGATGATAATATACCACAATTTACTATCTGGAAAGTTAACTTACACTAAATTGAAATACATAAATTAAAGAAGAGGTTGGTAAAACAATCATCAGCTCCGAGATGTGTGGGTTGAATAAAGGACCAAGGATAAAGCTAAGGTCGAACGTTGGCTTTTGAAGGGCATATGCCTCTTGAGAAGAATCCCCACTAATTGCGTTTGGTCCAAAATTAACTTCAACTAGAATTCAATTGTTGTTTCGAATATCTTGAGACATGGCTATTTCTTCAATTGAATGTTCTTGTTCAAAACCAATGTAACAATCAGAAACCAACATCAATTTTATCCCCTGGAAATGAATATTATGACAAGAAAAGAGTATTTAGTAACAGAAAGTTAATCAATATGAACACTCATATTAATTATGTAATTCTATTGCTATTCTAATGCAAACAGCAGTAGCCAGTAGGTGCTGAACGAAAATGGACAACCTACTTACAAACACACTGGAACAGTTATACGTCCTCAATTTCCTAAGGCTTGTGTTAGTTAAGCAGGGTATCCTGGTAAAAATGATTCAGATGCGGTCCTAAATTTGATCGTTATCTCATAGCATGTACTCAAAGACTTGGAACGGACTGCATATGATATATCATAATAATTTATCTAAATTTTCATTTTAACAAGAGCCCTTAATATATTTACATCAACATATCCTTTATGTAGAACTACCGCATAAAAATGAAAGAGCATAGAAATATCTGCAAGAAAAGGCCTATTGAATTAAGGAATTTTAACCTGGAAAGTACTTAAGGATGATGGTAAATCCATTTGAGTAACCAAGCGATCAGAGAAAGAAACTCTCTTCAGAGCATATAATTCAGAGGTGGATGTGTTACCAAGAACTAACCACCATGCTTCATCTTTTACCTGCAGAAAATACCAACTAAGTTTGTTTTACTGACTTATACCAGAAATGAGGCGCACGGTTTTACCTTAGGGAATCTAGGAGCAAAAGCCCTTGATGTGCTTTGCCTAGAATTGGTCTTCTCCAATTTGATGCTCAAGGAAAGAGACTTTGTATCATCAGTGTCCCTTTTCTGAACTTTTAGCTTCACCTTAATGCAAGGAAAATGCTGTAAATCCTGAGAAAACAGAAGGTAGGGGTGGAATAAGCAAGGTTACATTCAAATATAATTTAAAAGGCTGCACATGGCTGCCCTCATATGCATCATTTTTATTGTTCCCAGCACCCACGGAAAACACAGACCGACAAGAGAAAACCATTACACACTGCTTCACGGTTTCCTGACCTGCACTCCGCCTCCACCCCCTTTCCCTCTCTTCCCAAAGCAACATACATGCCAACTGTCTGAAGTGCCGGAACAATTAGCATAGAGGTATCAAGAATTTGAAGTATACCACCCTCGAATTAACCATTACTTATTCCGGCAGACTAAAGACCTCTTCTCTGAAGCCACAGTTCTTACGAGTTACAACTCTATAATCATTCCCAGTCATTTAATCAAATATATAACTAAGGACAGCACATGCATAAACCTTAAAGGTATTAAATTCGATGTCAAATCATCCTTCTTTCGGGAAGTGCTGGCCAAGTATTTAAATAAGGACAACTTTTTGAGGTTTACCGATTTGCTGCACCTTGGTCAAAAAGTTACAGAACATGCATAAAACATGCAGAAAAATCTGGTACAATTCACCTGATGTACTCTTGAAGCCAGAACATTTCCAATCATAGCCTGCAAAGTTGCCTTGGGAAGATCTAATAGCTGCTGAACACTGGAGATTCCTTTTTTGCTCAATGAGGCTACAAGATCAGCATTCATGCAGGGCAACATCCACAGGGAAGAATCTTTATCAAACCACAAACCCTAACAAAACATGAAAGGCCTATGAGAAAAAAAAACCTTTTTTTTTTTATCAGAACAGTAGATTGAGACCACAATTATCAGAAGCATTAGCATTAAAAGTGCATTTTGAGAGTTTATTATTCCTAACCTATCATGTGAACACACCACCGCCTTCACTCATTAGAAAAATGTAGCTAAGTTTCAGATTTTCACTTTGAACCGGTGCATGCTACACTTTAAACCACCCCATCCAGCTATCATAAGAGCCAATGACCATAAACTCGCCACAAAATCCAGCTAAACCATTTTAGAACCTCCATCTGAATGATCCAACCCATTCCTCCATTCAATTTCCTAGTGTTCCTAGAATTACTTTAAAATCACTAAGCCTATGAAAGATGTTATTCTACATGAAGCAAGCTGCATAAATCCCATATGCTTCATCTATTTGGCATCTACTAGACTCGCACTATGAACTCACTATCCAATGCTCTAGGGAAAACCATCTTCTCAAACTTAAAAGCATTTCATTGAGAGTAGGTTAGTAACTCAAGAAACAGGTGTGGATGTTACAAAATCATAAATGCCAAAAGAAAAAGAGGTATCCACCGACTTTGGGCCTAGAGCACATAATAATCAACAATTTGCAACTCCTTTTACTTCGAATCCATCAACGAACATTAATTTCCGTTTTCATACTTTAAGTACATGATCAGCATAAGCAAAGCACTAAATCCATGAAAAATTTCAAGGCTGTGTAAATATTCTGTAACCTACACAGAACTGAACAAGTGATTCCTTCCTTCCATATGTCCCGCCGGAGCTGCCATTAATAAGTGCAGACACGTGCATTGAGTAAGCGGTTAAGGTCGACAGCAACAGGTATGGTAGTTGCATGGTGTTAGTGTGATGCGGGGTTGAACGCTGACTACGCTGAGCCCGAGCCTTCATAACACCTTAAAGGTATTAAATTCGAAATGTGCTAAATCATCCGTTCTTTTCGGAAGTGCTGCCAGAGCGTCATTTAGAAGTATACCGCGATGCATGCGTTTTTGAGGTTTAAACCGAAGTTTTTGGCGTCCTCTCGGCACCTTGGTCAAAAAAAGTTCAGAACCATGTCATAAAACATGCGAAAAATCTGGTTACAATTCACCTGGATGTATATTGAAGCACAGAAACATTTACAATCATGAGCCTCTGTGCAAAGTTGCCCTTGGGAAGATCTAATAGCCTGCTGAAGCACTGGGAGAATTGCCTATTTTTTTGGCTCAATGAAGGCTAAGCAAGATCAAGCATTCATGCAGGGCCAAACATCCACAAGGGAAGTAATCTTTTATCAAACGTCAATCAAAACCCTAAAAAAAATGAAAAGGCCTAAATGAAGAAAAAAAACCCCCGATCTTTTTTTTATTTATCAAGAAACAGTAAGATTGAAGACACGTGTACAATTATCCAGGGCATTAGCATTAAAATAGTGCATTTTGAGAGTTTATTATTCCCTTACCGTATTGCATGTGAGACACACCACCAGGTGAGGCCATTCACCATTAAGAAAAATGTAGCTATATGTTTCAAGATTTTCCAACTTTGAAACCGGTGCACATGCTACAATCTTTAAAAACCACCCCATGCCAGCTATCATAAGAGACCAATTTGACCATAAAACTCGCCAGCAAAAAATCCAGCTAAGACCATTTTAAGAACCTGCCCATCCTGAATGATCCAACCCTTCCTCCATATCAAATTTCTAAGTGTTCACTATAGAATTACTGGTTAAAAATCGAGCATAAGGTCCTATGAAAGATTTTATTGCTACCATGTGAAAGCAAGCTGCATGTAATATGACCATGGATGCTTCATGCTAAAATTTGGGCAAGCTCGGGTACTAGACTAAGCACTATGAAACTCACATCATGTCTGGACCATCTTCTTCAAACTTAAAGGCATTTCATTGAGAAGTAGGGTTATGTACTCAAAGAACAGGTGTGGATTGTTACAATTTGCGAAAGAGGATATCCACCGACTTGGGCCCTAGAGGCACATAATACATCAACAATTTGCCACCTTTCTATCGAATCCATCACGAACATTAATTTCGTTTTCATACTTTAAGGTAGCATGATCAGCATATCACAGCAAAGCTAACTCAAAATCCAATTTTGAAAATTTCAAGTGCACTGGTGTAAATATTTACTGTTAATACAACAGAACTGAGACAAGTGTTCCTTCACCTTCCCGATCCGCCCCCCCAGAAAGAAAGAAAAAAAAAAAATTTACGTGCACCCCAAAAGAAAAAAAAAAAAAAATTTACGTGCAATAGAAACAAAAGTACCTGCATGACCATTTGCAAAAGATGCATGCAAGTAATTGAGCTTAGAAGCCATCCACTGTTAGCACAAATATCTATCATGGCCTGTATTATGCGAATGCTTTGATCCAACACTGACTTCAAATCTGTTGTATAATCACTGATTGGCAACTCCAACTGGGAAAAATGTGCCTGAAACCAGAAAAATACATGATAAGAGAATAATAAATGAAAAGGAACAGTAGGGTTATTTTAAATAAGAAAAAAGAAAGAGTAAACATGCTAGAAAATATATTCAACAAGAAAACACAATAACAACTGTTGACCTGAAATAGCAGATTTGCTTTGACATGGGGATCATCCAAGCGGCTCTTGTCCACCATATACCGAACTCTCCCAGACAATGCTTCATTATAGTTTTCCTGTAACAAAGCAAAAGCAATGCTTAAGAGATAGCCAATTGACATGTCAGAAGCTAGTTCAAATGTGCCTTATGAAATGTAAAAATTTTAACAGATTACAATATTTTGCAAATCCAACAGCTTATAAATATATAATTTAGAATAGGCAACTGATGTAAACAGGCCAGAATGTTTTTTATAAAAGAAGGGAAAAAATGAACTTGAAATAGTTTACACTTCCAAGTAGCAGCAATATTTCTTTACTAATTGAAGAACAAACAGGATTCTGATATGTGAAGAGAGAATGTCAAATGCCAGATTTTTATTTCCCATCATGAAGCTCTGACAAGGAAGAAACAGAATGCAACTAGCTTAATGGCAAGAATAAAACATTTACGTTTCTGAAAGTGTCAACCTCTCAATCACATTCTCAGATTCCAAACAAGGTCTTTTTTTTGCCAATATTAATAAATCATTTTTGATAGATTCTTATATATATTAGCATGCTCCCCCCAACCACCTTTTGATAAGTACTTCTTATATACTATTATTAGCATTGCTCCCCCCAAGACCACGCCCCTCCCCCCCCCGCGTCCCTCCCCAACAAGAAAAACAAAAACTAATATATATAGTTATATATATATTTATATCTATAATTTCTTCTGCATTCATGCTAAATAGGAAATTTCTGTACATAGCAGTCTTCTCTCTCGATATTCTTAGTTACTGAAATTTCATGATAATTTATGTCCAATTGCATAATTGGGAATTTGCAACAAAATCGCATATCATTACACCACAACGCACATTAACTCGTGCTCACAACCTCGTATATAATGATGTCTCATACACTAGGCTACTAGATGACTCCTCTCTTCATGTATAAGTAAACTACACTCACAGAACCTGCAGTTCGGTACCTCTAAGCTGCACTGCCACTATATATATTATAATTTTCTTCTGCATTCATGCAAATAGAAATTCTGTATCATAGCAGTCTTCTCTCTCTATCTTAGTTACTGAAATGATGATATTATGTCAATTGCATAATTTGGGAATGCCAGATACCAGAAATAATTGAACAAGTGGCTGTTACAGACACTTATGTCTCCAAATCAAATAAAAAAAGCAGCACTCGAGCTAGGACAGAATACTCAATGATTGAAAACCCTGGAAGGGAACATTTGTTTCCAGATGTGAAATGCACATTTTAGATGAATAGTCATGCTTTCTTGGGCATTGAGCATTTAGTTATGAACATCAAATTAAAGAGCGTGCTTCATTTATCTTGGATATCTGTGTCCACAGCATTAAGGCTCCCGGCTGTTTCCCACAGTTTGGAGATATTAGGGAGTTTTAGGTTCAGTTGTCTTGTTTACCATTCAAATTTTCATTACTTATCATTGGCGCCTCATGTGCACATATATATATCATGTATAAGGGTTGCACAACAACCTCTCCCTCTGCCTTGCATTTTCTAGTACATTATCCCAAACAAAAGAGCACACTAATCAACAAATGTTACTGGACAACTATCAAACAAAGATAGAACAATCTATATGGAATAACACCAGTATATATTTTCATTGTGATGTGATAAGCCCAGTAACTCTGCTCAACCCAAAATCAAAAAGATAGGGCAGAAAAAGTACCTCGTTGTGTCTCACAGGAAGTTCATCATATTCAGATGCACCAGATAAAATATGCAAAAACACCTATGATAAAGGCAATTGTGAGAATAAAGACCCAAGGTAACAAAAAAGAACTATGACAAAACAGTCACACAAAGAACTTACTTCAAGAGATGTATCTGGTCCTATATTTGATCCAAACATTGATAAAGTCATGTAGCTGAGGTAATACTGTGATGCTATCATGCCCAACATCATAGATTCCACATTGTCTTCGTTCATCTTGATGCATCCACTATCTTCCAGATCCTCAAATGTGTTCTGCACTAATCTGCCAAAAGTATTTTTCAAATCATTGTCATTCAAAAAACAGTAAATTGCAACCAAAGGAAAAACAAAAATTGCATGAAATATGGCAGTCACCATATGGCCTATCGGAGATGATAGTCAGTGACTAATTAATTAGAAAGTGATTGAAACATTTCTAAATTGATTGGCAAATATCTTCATTTCTGTGTAGAAATGAGAATATTCTTTATCGTCTTTTTTGCATCAACTTTTCATGAATGCTATTTTCTGAGATGCATTCAGTTAAACTTTTGGGTAAAACAATTTTATGCTGGTGAACCAAATAAGAATTCCAAGTAAAGATTGCTTAAATTTATATTACAATTAAATCAGGCAAAATAATCAACCAGACAAAAAAACCTTGTTACCTGGATAAGTATGAACTCAGAGTTTCAGGTTCTGCACTCTCTAGACCATAGTAGGCTGGATTAACCATCTGCAAGAGGACCGTCCATATCAACTTTTGCAGGTAGGCTAGTGTATAGCAGAAAGTGTGATAGATCATTCATATTTGCAGGTTTTACATGTTGAATTCTTTAAAATCTATGTTATTCAAGGCTGGTATGTATTTAGTAGGGAAGATCATTATTAATCTAGAAATAACCTATGCTTAATGCCAAAATAACATTATCTATAAGCCTAATGTTATTTTCACAAAAAAAAAAAAAAAAAAAAAAAAGATCATTATAATCTAGAAAATAACCGTTATTGCTTTAATTGCCATAAATAACATTATCTATAAGCCTAAGTGTTATTTTCAACAAAAAATAAAAAAAAGAAAAAAAAAAAAGACGAAAGTTCACCATTTTCTCTTATCCGGAAAACAATCTTTCTTTGTAAATCACAATGCCCAAGAATATTTCAAAAAAGGAAAAAAAACAAAAAAGCCGGATATTTAATCTGAGGCTATAAATTACCTTGACTATTAGATCATAAGCAAAGGAATAAACATAAGAAAGAACACAAATGTGCCGTAGCAGATAAAGTAAGGAATTCTCCTCACGACGAATAATCTAACAAGCAGCTTATAATCCACACATTAGATCATAATCTAAGTGTCTCTTATATCACTCCTCTAAAAAAAAAAAAAAAAAAAAGCGGTATATTTAATATAACATTACTTGATATTTAGATATAGCAAAGAAAATAAGAAACACAAATGGCTAGCAGATAAAGTAAGGAAATTCGTTCTCACGACAATAATCTAACAAGCAGCAAAATTAGTGCTGGCAGGGATTCTTAACACTCATGTCACGTTAAATTTACTTATTTCCATTATAGAGAGATAATTTTTTAGTGTATTCACCCTGCAAGTCCTTTTCTCTCAACTTGGTCCTAAAAGACTTAATAGTCCCAAGTCCAGCTTTTCACCCTAGAATGGGAACTAGATAGCCAGTCAAATTGCTCGCTTCAACAAAATAATAAGAACAATATCAGATTCTCTACTTGATGGGGAGCCTTGTCGAGGTTAAGGAACATATAATTGCACAATTTACCGTGTAAACTATTGGTCAGAGTTACTAAAACCAAATGAGGACCCGGAGAAATCAAAACCATGAAAACCAACTACTATTAGAGTCCAATTTTCATGTTCCATTATTATCATCAAAATCGTACCAATCGACGGAACAAGTATGTCCATGTAATATAATGCATTGCATCCTCTTTATGGCAAATTGTGCCAGTAACTATCTCTGCATTGAGGTGATCATGCAACTGCTCCTTCAGACTGCTTTCAACAGGAAATGGTTCGTACAAAAACTGCAAACAAAAACATCATGTGACTCCCACCTTCATAAGCCTAAGACTGTTATAGTTACCATAATATACTCAGAAGTCACCAGTTTTAATCTGACCTTTTTATAGAAGCTCTTTTTTGGTTCATGGACAAGAATGACAGCTTTTCCATGTTGATCATACTGTGGGCGGCCTGCACGACCCATCATTTGCAAAATATCTGTGATAGGAAAATCAACATATCTCTTTGTCTTTCCATCATAGTATTCAGTTCCCTGCAAGAGAAATGTATGTTTTGCTGAAATAACATCATCCAGTACGTAACTCCATCCTTCCTTTTAGGAAATTTGTTCTGACACTAAATAATCCAATAACAGCCTCTCTCGAAACTTTTTCCACTGCCACCCAGATTGGTTATAGAATTTTTCTAATCTTTGTTTTGCAAAATAAAGACATAAGCAAGACTTTATCTTTTTTTTTCATAACCATGTAGACAGACCAAAATAATTATCACTCCCTAGACTTTTTCACCAGAATAGTGTATAAAACAATTATCAAATTTCTATAAAAGACTAGTGAGCTTTGATATAAATAGTTTCTTCACCTTGATAATAACCAGATGAGCAGGAAGATTCACGCCCCAAGCAAGTGTACTTGTACATACCAACACCTATGATTCAATATACAGAATCAACTTTTTATTGCAATGTACATCATTCACAGGTAAGTTAAGAGACAGATTAGACAGATTATTCAAGTGAGAGAAGTGCCTGGATCTTGTTGTTTGCAAAGAGTTCCTCAACAAGGGACCTGTCTTTATCATTTAATCCTGCATGATGTAACCCAATGCCAAATTGTAAGGTGTGCCTCAGGTTCTGATCAGTGACCTGAGAGAGAACCATCTGCAGTGTTTCATCTGTCATACTCAGAAACTGCCTTGGATATTCATCTGCAGCTGCAAACTATACACACAAAAACACCAAGTTTAAAGGTAATAATGTCAAGGAGCAAGCAAAATATAAGCAATATGATGTTGCATCTCACCTGAATAAGGTCAAGTGCAGTAAGCCTAGTCTGGCGACGAGAGGAAACAAAAATTAGCACTGGTTTTGTAGGTGAATGTGTGCATATAGCAGCATATGCTGGTTTATTCATGCTATTCATCCTTGGGCAATAGTACTTTCCAGGATATCCCTGTTTATGGTAGCAGTCAGGACAAGCTAAACATAAGATAAGGCAATCATCTATTTGCATATCACTAGAAAAGGCAGAGAAAACCAACAAAATGTGTCACCGGCCTATCTTATGTGCAGGCTACCATTACAGTAAAAAATTACATGCACAAATATCAAGGAAATTTCTTGTTTAAAGTAATTATTGTTAGTCATATAGTTGAAACAGCAAGCCATCTATTTACTACCAAGGTGTACATTACCAGTTGCCAGCAAGAAAGGCTTAAAAATTTTGGGGACCAACTATAACAGAAGTATATAGAGAGCACAACAAGATTAGGAACCAATAAAAAACAGGAAGAAAAAAAGATAAAATCATTAGAACTTTATCCTTGATCTCCAATATACAGTTGCTGAAGACCTTACCCTATTGAAGTCTGAAAACACAAAGCAGTAAAATTGTCAACATAATGAGATTGTTTTTCCTCAAAAGTTAGCACCACCTCATACATTAATTTAGCACAACCCAATGACAGCAGCACAAATGGACTAATACCAATTAACCACCAATCTCAGGCAGCATGACAAAACTGCCATTACACAAGACTCTCATCCTCAAAAGTCTTAAATGCTGTTACCCAAATAAGCATGAAATAAGATCTTGGTAGAAAATTGGCAAAAGAACATGCTTCTTTGCGACATTCCAATACTGATTTTTTCAATTTCTTATTAGAAAATTAATAGGTGTTAATCACGCTTTGCATATATCTAAGTGTTAATTAACCAATTCAATTGTTGCACTTACATTTTTTTGACATTGTACTTGAGAAACACATGAAAATATAAATACATGCCAGCTAAACTGATTAGATTCTGGGTACGAATTTCACTCAGTTTGATCCTACAAAGCTAAAAGGCATCCATAAACACCAGGGGGAAATAAAAGGGAGAAGATACAGCCATCATATCATCATGAAAATTTTAGAATGTCATATACAGAAAAGACGAAATATCAACTCATATAACAAAGCCAGTTTCCATTACAAGAGAAGTATTCTGAGTTATCATGTATTACTTGCCTGAATATGTACTTCCAGAGGCACAGGCCTCACACTTGGCTTGAAGTTGAAGAGTCCAATTTCACCAACTCCTAACCAATCAGCCAAATCACTAGAAAAAGAAAACCATAAGAAAGAAATCACAGTAGCAAGTTACTGATTGCCAAAAAAAAAAAAAAAAAAAAACTAGAAAGAAAACATTAAGAAAGAAATCACAGTAGCAGTTACTGAATGCCAAAAAAAAAAAAAAAAAGAAAAAAGATTTAAATTGGAAAAAAAAAAAAAAAAAGAAAAGATTTACTGGAGCAAAAATCACCTCTCTGGTTCTTAAAAGAGCTGCTATATGAATGAACGCGGCTGTATAACTACAGTCATACAGCATCCCAACGCATTTGACTACTTTCGCGATACACACAGCATAATTAAGCAAGGGTGAATATATATATTGTGGGTGGGTGTTTGCTCAACCCAAGAAATATTTAACATAGGTTGATTTTTCAAAATACATCTCTATTCAATACCTTCCTACTCCTAAAAGAGGGAGTAAAGTAGCCCAGCTAATGAAACATAATAAAAGCAATTCCTTCTCATTCACGTTTGTCATATGAGGCCAAATAATATTAGAATATAAACAGCATAACTGCTTATTTTTACTTCTGTAGCACAGGATATACATTTTAATTTGTCAGTTGCTATGCGCGCTAGCAATCTTTTCTAAACTTAGAACAAAATGTTATGCTAAAGTCCATGTAGTTTATCCAAATAAATCTGAAGAGCATAGCCCTAAAGCTTTTGTACTACAAGATAGAATTTCATTCAAATCAACGTTGATATGTATATTTTAATGCGTATTTTAAACACACACTAAATCATGAGATCTACCTACCAGACATTTAGAATTTGTGCTCTTTGGAAACTACAAAGAAAATTTTAGGACTGTAAAGAAAATGGAAATTATTTATGAATGAAAGTTCTACTTAAGCCATTTTTATAAATTAAGCCAGCTTGGAACTGTCAAATTAACTGTGCAAACATGAACTTCAGAAAATGTCTTTCATCTATTTACTTCCCATTACTGGTAACAGTTTTATGACATTTCCTATATATATATACATTTCCTATATATATATAATATATATTATATATATATATATATACCACATGATTATTGTGATGATTTAAGTAAAGTAAACAGATTTCAACATTGCGTGTTTTTCCCACTTAAAATTAATTGGGAAAATCAATATATACACATGATATTGTGATGAATTAAGGTAAAAGTAAACAGATTTCAAAATTCGTGTTTTTCCACATAAAATAATTGGAAAATCAAAACATGAAATTAATAAAGACAGTCCAATACTAGATCCCTCAATTGTGTTCTGTATTAAACATACCCTGCATTTGCCAAAGCAGTAGAAAGGCCTACGAAACGCACTGCCCGTTCTGTTTGGGATGATATGTATCTCATCCTCGAAACAATAACCTGGAGAAACACAGTTCTAAAATTGATATCTTTAAAGAAACTAGAATAATTTTGCCGATTAGGCGAAAAAGATGGACTAGTTATTGGCCTTCAGGGATTCACACATTCTTTGTTCTGATATCCAATTCAATAATAATTTTGACATTTTGCAATTTTTTTTTTTTTCAAATGCCAACCGCTTCAGAATATCCCAAAACATATCATTCTGGCTGATTGACTAAGCTCTAGCTAGAACAGCAAATTCCTACTGACATCAAAAGTAGAATCCAGAAGAAATGGCATCCCCTACAGTTGGTCTGAAGGATAAAAACATCAACATGACTGTAATCAGGCTGATCCTCCATCTATTCATATTTGAGCATACAACAAATAAAAATGAAAGTAACTTCTCAGAAATATTCATAGAAATTACTAGACAATGACAAGAATAACAAAAAGTAATAACCACATTCAATCAGGTTGGGAGGTTCAAGACCTGATACAATCCCAACTATTTATAATCACCCAGCATCCAATATCAGACATTCAATAACCCACAACATACCGTGTGGGCAGCGGTGTGCAACGATCAGTTCGGTTTTCGAACCAATTCAAACCGAAACCAAAGTAAAGAGAAAACAGCTACCCGAAATCGAACTGAAGCAGACTAACCGAAACCGTTTCGAACTGAGTCAGACCAGTTCGGAGTTGTTTGATTAGGTTAGTTCGGATAAATTGATTACTATGGATGGACTGGAAAAAAAAATCAGTTAGCTGCCATGTAAACTGAATCCGAACAGAAAATCATTTGGTTATTCTTATTTAAAGTGATCCAAAACCGAATTCAATAAAAACCAAACCTACCTGAACCGGTTGGTTCGATCATTTTTTCGGTTAATTCTGATTTTTGCTCAGCCCTAATAGTGGGTGTGAGTTTGCGGGTCCAGGTTAAATTTTGTGAGAGATGTTAATGTCTTCACAGTTTAACTTCATAAATGACTTCTATCAAGAGGTATTCAGATTGTAGGTTTAAGATTATCATTATGTACAAAAGGAGATTTTGAGGGCATATTTAAAAGATTCTCTGTCAAATCTCTGAGCCAAGGGTTCACTCCTTTTGCTCTGTACAAACCAATTTTTAAATTTACGTCATTCTTTGTGCCTATGCAGTTAATCTTGTACAACTGCACATAAGACACCCTTATTGGCATTCTTATAGAAGAAAGATGTGTCACGTCAACATAAACAGAATTTTATTCCATCCTCCAAACACGTGAAATTTTAGCAATCCTAATTATCAATTTGGTAGTTGAATTCTCCATCTATTTAGTCCATAATAGTACCATATACCACTTGCACAGCAATAGTTTGAGGTCATATGCTACTGCAAATACTTGGTAACATATTGTGGCTATTAGTGTTTAGTAACAGATGGTACCTCAAGGATGGGTCCACGATCAGCTCCAAGTAAGTGAATCTCATCCAAAATCATAAGCCCAACCTAAAATTTGCACATGTTAACCAATAAATCATAAGTGAATAGGACATTAAAATGTTTGCACATGTTAACCAATAAATAAAAACCGAAAAAATTGATCTTCCTTTAATAGAAAAATGCTCAAAAGTCAAACTAATGAACCTTTGTTACATAGCTTCGGCTATGCCAATTTCGACTGATACCATCCCACTTCTCAGGGGTAGATATAATGATGTCTGCTGACAAGAGGGCCATTAAATCTGGAGTATAATCTCCAGTCATTTCAACCTGAAAAAACGTCCTCTTAGTTTCCGAAACATACATTAACGAACTGATACACCCATGTTAAATATAGATGCACGCGCACACACAAATAGATAAACATCTAATGGATAAACTGTCACCATTTTTTTCCCAAGCTGAGAGACAAGACGCTTTCTCCAATCATGCATCCTTTCTCGTACAATAGCCTTCAACGGTGCTATGTAAATTACCTGCATTCATATAAACAATTTAAGCATACCAGAAATAAGGTTGTGAAACACCCCAACATTTCACAAGACTGAAACAAGTAGATTACGAACTACATACTAGCAGATGCGAATGACAAAAAACCAAATACCATGAGCAAGAAAAAGAATGTTGCTATTGAACTCAAATATAACATATATTATCAGAAATTAGTTCAACCCCATGCCCATTTACCCTTATCACTTGGCCGACTTTTCATGGAACACTTTATCCATCATTTGGCTCACTTTTCATGTTCTCTCGTACAGTATGAGCTGAGCTCCATGACAGTGTGCAACTGCCAGCACCTTATGCTTTCATGTTATGATTTCGTTTTTTTTATAGTATTCTTCTTGCAATATATTTCTTATTTTTGTGTTTTTTTCTTATTTTTGTTTGATAAATAAAAATTCGTTAAGGGAAACAGAAGGGTGTAGCCCAAAGTAAAAGCTTAATATTTTCCAAGTTGCACACAGGAAGAAGAGCACCTTCATATCAGGCTGGGTATTGAAGAGGTGAAGCATAGCAAGTTCAGCAGATATAGTTTTCCCACTACCAGTGGGAGCTCCTAAAAGAACATTGTTGTCTGTGTGATAGAGAACATGAAAAATCTGCAATAACAACAAAACCATCATGTCACCAACGCAGAATAGTTTGGTACAGCTAAAAAACATGAACCACAAATAAAAAAAAAAATTATAAAGAACTAAACCTGTGTTTGTATAGGATTAAAATGTGAGAAGTTGTACAAGCCTTCATAAATATTGTTCCCAAGCGAGGTCACAGGGAGTGGTTTTAAATCCAGAAGTTCTGTGTGGGAAGTACGAGCCTGAAATAGCATATTCCTTAAAAGAGGTTGGTATTTAAAATTTAAAAGTGCCAAAAGAAGGGAGGAAGAGACCCGCAGGGAGGATGGAATGAAAAAAAGCATCGTAAAATA